AGGCTGGCGGTTCAAACCCACCAGCCACTCCTCAGAAGGAAGATGGGGCAATCTACTTCCGTAGTGATACTGCCTCGGAAACCCAAGAAGGGGTCGCTATGAGTCGGGTCCGACTCCATGGCACACAACAACAACAACAACATATGGCAATAAGCACACTGTCATTGAGAACTCTGGTGAAACGTCGGTGGTTCCTGACTCACCAGCCACTTTTCTAGTTTACAGGAAAAAGATGTGCCAATCAGCTTACTTAAAGATTTACAGCCTTGGAAACCCTATGGGGGCAATTCTACTCTGTGCCATAGGGTCACAATGAGTTGGAAACGACTCAACCTGGCACTGGGTATTTTAACCAGTCTCAGAGGATGGCTTTGCTTACCAGAAATCGAGCCAGTTAGCGCCCCCAAATTTTGCTCATTTTATATGACGCCTCTAGATGGGTTGTTGAGAAAAATCAAGCAGCTTCCCTACCCATACCCCTACCCTCACCCCGAATTTGGAAAACTTAAATCTTAAAATAACGATTGCAATTCACTACATGCTTTATAATTAACGTCATTTTTCCTGAATGACTAGACCTAGTGCTCATTTCTATGTGGCAGGTGTGTGGACCAGTGCCTGGCAGAGTTAGATGCTCCTATCGATCTACCAGTGTGATGAACAAATAGTTCAGGAGCTGCTGGGCCACATGCGGATGCCAGCAGCAGAAGGCACTGGTTTCCTTACCACAGAGGCCTTGAGTCTTGTGGGCGAGGCAGTGCAGGGCGCCATAGATACACCTGCAGAGGCGGCAGCCGCGGACAGTCCAGACTCCATGTGCTTGGGCACCACATACGCTGAGGAGGACGCGAAGGGGGCATCCGTGCTGCAGGCCTGCACACCCTGCGCCCTCCCCGCGTCCCCACATTCCTCTCCGCGCCCTTTTCATCCCGCCCCGCCCCTTCCGCGTTCTTCTACACCGCCCTCGCTCCTTGGCCGCCTCCCCTGGCTCAATCTCCTGCCCGCCCACCCGCACTCCTCTGCTATTTATCAAACCCCTCGCCCCCGCCAGATGCGTCCGCGACCCTATCCCAGACACCAAGACACCCGGTCCAGCCTCCCCTTCCTCCCGCGCCTACCTGAGCCTCCGGTCTTGCTCACAGTGGCGGCCAGTGAAGTGGGCGGAGCACACGCAAAAGCTGCCCAGGACGCACGTGCCGCCGTTTTGGCAGCAGCTGCGCTGCCGGGACTCACCTATAGGGATCGTTTGTCAGCCTGGAGGCGTCTTGCGCTCTGCAGTATCCTGTGCCTAGAGCAAACCTAACGAGATTGCCCTGGGGACATAATAAATTCAGCTCCCTGCCTTGTTAATTTAGGGATTAAAAACAAACCGCTAGGGGCGCAGGCCAATCTGAAAGGAAAGGATGATAAAATGGACACCCTGCGCCCTGCCAGTTGCATTCTTTCTTCCTTTCACATGTTAAGGATCGCCTTTGACTTCACTTGACAGTGATTAAAGACAGGCCTCTTTTGCAGAGACCACACACGAGTATATTGACGCCAAACCTCCCAGGCGGAGGGGCGTTTTCGAGGACTTGGCGTCTAAACCTGAAAGCCTATGATAAACCAAGCAGGAGCCAGATGTTATCTTGGTTTGGGTTACTTGTTTTGAGTGTATTCAAATCACAGTATTCTCTGGACCTGCAGAAAAATACCCGTTGCAATAGTAACATTTTACCAATGAGTCAGTGGAAAGTTTTTAAGAGCCAAAGAACACTAGACATATTTTTAACTTTATAACGTATCATCGTTGGAATATGATGACAAATTACTCTCTATTGGGTTCTACGTTTTTATCCTTAATTTAGCCTAAATTTTCCAAATCCTAGACGAAGTCGACAAACCAGTAGGAATACAAAGGTTTCCTGGGCTACACTGAGACTTACTCTCTTGGAACCCCCAAGAATGGGGAAGCGACTCCCGCGGCTGCCTCCAGCCCTCCAAGCTCCCATTCGCGTCACTAAAATTATTTAAAATCCGGTTAAGTGTTTTCTGGTGGCGCTCCTGGATTGTAGCGTTGTTGATAGCTTCTTTACCACTTCCATGTATCTCTCTTTGATAACCTTTTAAATGCATTAAAAATATCACACTGACGATGACTGAGAACTATTTTATGCAATAAAATATAAATGAATAAATAAAATATAAGTAAAATACTTCTTACTGTTTCCCAAATGGATCATCTGTAATGCCAAACTGATCACAAACAGAAACCTAGAATATTTTTTAAAAAATATATTGAAGTTTAAAATATAAAATTGTATAAGCAGAAATTAATAGTTATGTATAATGCAAAGCAATTCTATATACATATAAACTATAAAATGGTTAATGTATAATATATGCAATCATTCTCTCACTTGTGGATTTTGATGAATGTTATACCTTAGAAAGATTCTGAGATAGTGAAAGTGTACACTGATTTTAATTAGGAAGAGCAGGTATGCATGCTATTGGGAAATATTCTGGATACTTTTGAAGTCCCTGCCTGGCTCTGGAATCTGGATGACCTCTGAACTTACCTGACATGATGGCCCAGCATCATTTTTCCACTGACTTGTCTAGTATAAGACATGGTTCCTTCTCTCATCAGTGCAGTGAAGATGAATTTCCAAGGAAGTTGAGTCTCAATAGTTTTTTATTTGATGATATCTTTACTCCAGGCCCTGGATCAAGACACAAAATGGATAAAGGCAGAAGACAGAAAGCTCCTTCCCTCTGCCTAGACAACAAGAAACAAAGATGAGACCACTGCTATTGTTATTCCCCTTAGGCAAGGGCTTGATATGGCAAGCAGTCCCCAAGGACAGCCTCAAGGACTGTCCCCTTAATGAGAAGCCTGTGGGGGTGGAGACTTGGGCCAATTCTTTCCCCTGCAGGAATTAAAGTGTCGATAGCAGCAGGGGTGGTCAATTCCTGATTTAAAACATTAGTGACCAAGATGGGAAGCATTTCCTTCACTTGGGGAAAAAAAAAAAAGAAGAAAAAACAAACCCTGACATGAACAAAAATAAATTCGTAGGAAAATGGAGATTATGTATTACATATACCTTATACTGGAAGATGGTAAAGGGGTAAAGCCAGTGAAGAGAGTTGCTGTGTGGAACATGATCTTATGTTCCAGAAGTCTTGGGTGGAAAGCATGAATGTATGATCAAACTTTTTAACTCTTGCTTTCTGAAAGTGCATTACTATTTCCAGCATCATGGTGAACATTTCATAGACATTACCTATTTAATACAGCACCCTCTGGGTAGCACTATTATTACCATCACTACTACCACCATTTAAAAGGTAGGAAACCGAGGCTTAGGAGTTTAAGTTTCTTGCTGCCATTAGATCTTTGAACAAATATGAATGTACAGGTATTATGAGAAGCACCCCATGGGTGCCTGTGCAGCATTTCAGGACCATGGAGCACCAGGACAATTTCAGTATGCTGTTGTCTGATGGGAGTTCTGGTGGCATAGTGCCTAAGGCATTTGACTGCAAACCAGAAGGCTGGAGGTTCAAACTCACCAGCCACTCCTCAGAAGGAAGGTTGGGCAATCTACTTCTGTAGTGACACTGC